AACACGTGCACTCCCAATGACACATCTCGTAACACACGTGCACACCCAATAACACATCTTGTAACACACGTGCACACCCAATAACACATCTTGTAACACACGTGCACACCCAATAACACATCTTGTAACACACGTGCACACCCAAAAACACATCTTGTAATACACGTGCACACCCAATAACACACCTTGTAACACACGTGCACACCCAATAACACACGGGCTCACTTCCAAACACGCATGCACTAGCAAAAGCATTACATAACCGTACGAAAAGTACATATTGTACAAAATACATTTATAGTGCTGTCAAAAATTCGTAACACAACTTACTGTCAACTATCCAACATGGACTCCTCAACTTTTACGTAATGATTGTATAGATAAGCGTTTTGGTAAACACCTGTTACTTATATTCTAGAAAATTTTCTTAACAAACACAACTAAAAAATCACAATGGATGACCTCTTCAGATTTTGAAGGTTTACATTCCATGAGCTAGGACAATAGAACTTTAAAAAAGCAAGTCCGTCCTTTCTTCCAATCGTGACGCTACGATGTTTTGAGAACATTTGAGAGAAAAAAAAAGTGTTCATTATTAAATTAATTTCTTGATACAAGTTTTGCCACAAAAGTGTGCCCTTGATGAGCAGTGACGCAGGCCATATGCGTACACAAATTGTGTTTGAGAAGCGGGAAGTGCTGTGACCAATCCCATTGTCCGCGTGACAGAGATTTGTAGTATTTGAAATACATTTAGGTAGAAAAATTGGGGGTTTTTTGGAGAAAAAAAACTTGACTCAATTGTTGTGCGAAAAATTAATCAAGTTAAGATAGAATTAATAAAAATTGCTGTGCAAAGTATGGGTAACACTGGTTCACGCGAGAGGCTCTCGTGGCCGAGAGGTAACGTGTTCTGCCTCTCATTCAACAGGACCCGGGTTCGAATCTTGATAGAAAAGAAGGAGCAAACCACACAGAGTACCCGCCAACTACCCACTAGTAGGCATTTTCCAATGTAACGTTCCAAAACACCAAAGTCCATCGTTTGTTTTAGTTTTAGTTTTAGTAGAGATTTTACGGCGCTCGCAACTGCATAAGGTTATATAAGTGCCAGAAGATTAGAGGTGTTACAAGAGAGTAACAGACATAAAAAACGACGATAGATGTTTCATAGGAAAGAAGAAGCAAACCACACCAGAGCACCCGCCAGCCACCCACACATCGTCTGTTTGTTGTTGTTGTAAAAACAAGCACATCGACACAATAACGGTCATCTAGCGCAGGGAAAATAGAAAGACAGACAGAAATACAGGCAGAAACAATTATAGAGGGAAGGTAAAGAAGTAGGATCTTACGGTAACTGTTGCACCCTCAAACCACCCACAAAGTACCCCGGGAAACAACGACTGTGTTGCCATCGACCCAGCAAACAGTGAGGCGTGGCAGCCCGGCCCAAAGCCCAACGTTGAAACACGTGATGATGACTGGCTGGTTTGTGTTAGGTTTTCTTTTTAAAAGAATTCGCCCTTTTGTTTTGTTTTGTTTTTTCCTCCCTTTATCTGCATTTAATTTCCGCGTTTTTTTTTTCTTTTTTATGTGGAGTGGGGGTGGGGGTGTTGTTCTTTTATTTAAGAAATGACATTTGTCCG